GTGTCCGTTTCCTTGATCCCTGTTGAGTAAAGTTGAATTACGTTGTTTGTTGATCTCGAGGCTTTCTGCAACATCCAATTTCCATGGTGTAGATACGGTTCGTAAAATCGTTATGTCCTCCGTCGATAGTTGGTGGTCCTCTGTGAAGATGTGTTCTGCATTCTTTAATTTGAAATCATATGTTAGGCCTTCTTCTTCTTGCTTTTTGGCCTTATTAACCTCCGCTATATGTTCTTTAAATCTAGTTGCTAAAGTTCTCTTGGTTTGTCCTACATATACTTTGCTACAATGATTACAGCTTATTTTATATACGCCTGCTTTACCTAAAACATTAACTGGGTCTTTAGTGGATCCTAACAATGATTTCAACTGGTTATGTCTACTGGTGAAAACTAAATCTAATCCGAATTGTTTTAACTGTGGTCTTAGTTTACAAGTAATATCTTGATCAAATGGAACGGACACTCGTTTCAATGGTTCAGGTGCTGTGGTGAGGGTTGTAAATAATCTTCTTTGTAGAATTCTCGCTTTTTTTTATCGATGATTGCCTGGATTGTGGTCTCCTTGTATCCGTTGAGTCTTGCTGTTTCGAAGATGTACTGTAATTCCTTAACCTTTCCTGTATCGCTGAGTGGAAGAGTCTGCATTCGGTGAATCATGTGGTGAAAGGCGGCCATTTTCTGCCAGAACGAATGGTTGGAAGTATAAGGGATAACTATTTTGGTGCTTGTTGGTTTCCTGTAAATTTCGTATTCAAGCGAGGAAGATGATGACGATTCCCTGATGACTAGAAGATCGAGAAATGCGAGTTTCCCGTCTTTTTCTACCTCGTGAGTGAATTTGATATCCTTATGAATTCTGTTGATCTCATCTAAAATTTGTGGAAGGGCTTCCCGTTTAACTACGCTGAAGATATCTTCAACAAACCTCCACCAACGGTTTGGTAATAGTCCTTTCTCCTTCAGGATTGTCTCCAAGTTGGCCATGAAAAGTTCACACAAGAAGGGGGATAGGGGTTTCCCATTGGGGCTCTACAAGCAGACGAAAGGAGCCCCAATGGGAAACCCCCTATCCCCCTTCTTGTGTGAACTTTTCATGGCCAACTTGGAGACAATCCTGAAGGAGAAAGGACTATTACCAAACCGTTGGTGGAGGTTTGTTGACGATATCTTCAGCGTAGTTAAACGGGAAGTCCTTCCACAAATTTTAGATGAGATCAACAGAATTCATAAGGATATCAAATTCACTCACGAGGTAGAAAAAGACGGGAAACTCGCATTTCTCGATCTTCTAGTCATCAGGGAATCGTCATCATCTTTCTCGCTTGAATACGAAATTTACAGGAAACCAACAAGCACCAAAATAGTTATCCCTTATACTTCCAACCATTCGTTCTGGCAGAAAATGGCCGCCTTTCACCACATGATTCATCGAATGCAGACTCTTCCACTCAGCGATACAGGAAAGGTTAAGGAATTACAGTACATCTTCGAAACAGCAAGACTCAACGGATACAAGGAGACCACAATCCAGGCAATCATCGATAAAAAAGCGAGAATTCTACAAAGGAGATTATTTACAACCCTCACCACAGCACCTGAACCATTGAAACGAGTGTCCGTTCCATTTGATCAAGATATTACTTGTAAACTAAGACCACAGTTAAAACAATTCGGATTAGATTTAGTTTTCACCAGTAGACATAACCAGTTGAAATCATTGTTAGGATCCACTAAAGACCCAGTTAATGTTTTAGGTAAAGCAGGCGTATATAAAATAAGCTGTAATCATTGTAACAAAGTATATGTAGAACAAACCAAGAGAACTTTAGCAACTAGATTTAAAGAACATATAGCGGAGGTTAATAAGGCCAAAAAGCAAGAAGAAGAAGGCCTAACATATGATTTCAAATCAAAGGTTGCAGAACACATCTTCACAGAGGACCACCAACTATCGACGGAGGACATAACGATTTTACGAACCGTATCTACACCATGGAAATTGGATGTTGCAGAAAGCCTCGAGATCAACAAACAACGTAATTCAACTTTACTCAACAGGGATCAAGGAAACGGACACACATGGCTTTTCAAGCTACTACCTAGGACAAATCAACGAGTAAGCAGCGGAGTACCTGTTCCTATAGAAAATTAAATTTAGGTTTACCTAGTTTCTAAGTCAAAATGTACCTGTGTTAATATATATTCGGTAAATGCGATGTTTTTCTTCAGTCGAGTATTAGTACAAGACACTGAAGAAGTCTGCACATTGTAGACGAAATACGCGTATCTGTCAAGGATAAGCAAATAAAGTAGTGGAATTAAATGGAAAATACTAATCCTTCTCTCTCTCTCATTATACAGGTATTCCACTAAGACGCCCACATTCATCAGGATTGATTTTCACGTTTCTTTCAACTGATTCTTAAGTCAAAAGACCCGCTTACATGTGTCGGTCTCAGGGAACCGAAATTTACATGACTTTTTAGTAGTGTGTAGTTTTGCATTCCTGTACTATAGTCCTGAGATGAGTGAAAAGAGCTTACTTTTGGGTACTTTTTTCATACCATGTATAAGCCACAAGTGAGTATTCGAGGTCTTTTCAAATTTAATCAATTGAATTTAATTTTGAGTGATTAAATGTGATTTTGAAGCGATTAATTGCAATCTACTTTTAGCTATTTGCTCAATTGAACCGAAGATGGAATATGGATGAAAAGAACTTGAAGAACTCCATGTAGTATGTTACGGAAAATGTACGATTACGAATGGAAAGTTGATTTTTGGATTTTTATTTATTTTGTTTTCTGGAATGGAAAATGTTACGTTACAGCGAAAGAAATTCAATAGTGTAAAAAAATTAATTGGTTGTTAAATAAAATAAATGCTTTATTTTCATGACCTTGCCATAATAAACCCTTTTAAAACTGTTAATAGTTGTGATTTCGTTTTTTTTTATCTAGAAACAGGAGTACATATATCAGCGTTACGTAATTTTAGGAGAGAAGATCTTGTCCATCGTTGCTTATTGTTACTTGAAGTTACGTAATTTGTGTATCGCGCTTTTTAGTCTTGGTGAGCTAATAGTGGAGTTGCTTCGTACATCCTGTGGAAATGCTCTCATGATTATTCAATCTCATAAATAGTGTAAACATGGTTCACGCTGATTACCGATTGTTCCGTTATCACGCAACTAAAGGGTGATACGGTCAAAATTTGGTCAATATCAACTTGACGTATTTCTTTCAATTTTGCATTTAAAAAACCTGAACACCCCTCATTTTGAAGGTGTGTGTGTGTGTAGAATGTTGCTCCTATTTTGATTTTGGAATTCACTCTTCAGTTGTCAAAATGCCGTCCAAGCAAGAAGAGCAGCGTATCAAAATTTTGCTCGCGCATCGCGAAAATCCGAGCTACTCGCACGCAAAGTTGGCACAATCGCTAAAAGTTGCCAAATCAACCGTTACAAATGTAATTAAAGTGTTTGGGGAACGTTTGTCGACAGCCAGGAAGTCTGGATCGGGGGGAAATCGAAAACCGGAAGCCGCTGAGACGACAAAGAGAGTTGCCGGTAGTTTCAAGCGAAACCCTAACCTCTCTCTCCGAGATGCCGCAAATAAGCTGGGTGTATCGTCTACAACCGTGCATCGAGCCAAAAAACGAGCCGGACTATCGACTTACAAGAAGGTAGTGACTCCAAATCGCGATGATAAACAAAATACGACGGCCAAAGCGCGATCCTGGAGGCTGTACACGACGATGCTGACGAAGTTTGACTGCGTGGTAATGGACGACGAAACCTACGTCAAAGCCGACTACAAGCAGCTTCCGGGACAGGAGTTTTATACGGCAAAAGGAAGGGGAAAGGTAGCAGATGTTTTCAAGCACATGAAACTGTCAAAGTTCGCAAAGAAATATCTGGTTTGGCAAGCCATCTGTACCTGTGGCTTGAAAAGCAGCATTTTCATAGCTTCCGGGACTGTCAACCAAGAAATTTACGTGAAAGAGTGTTTGAATAAACGTCTGCTGCCTTTCCTGAAGAAACACGATTGTTCCGTACTGTTTTGGCCGGATTTGGCATCTTGCCATTACGGTAAAAAGGCCATGGAGTGGTACGCCGCCAACAACGTGCAGGTGGTTCCCAAGGACAAGAACCCTCCCAACACGCCAGAGCTCCGCCCAATTGAGAAATACTGGGCTATTGTCAAGCGGAACCTAAAGAAGACCAAAAAAACTGCTAAGGGCGAGCAGCAGTTCAAGGCAAACTGGCTTTCTGCGGCGAAGAAGGTGGACAAGGTGGCTGTACAAAATCTGATGGCAGGGGTCAAGCGTAAGGCCCGGCAATTCGGATTTGGAAAAGCGGAAGCCTAACTGAATATTTTTCCTGAATTTTATACTAATTGAACTTGAAAAAGAAATTTAATTTGATTTTTTAAATAAACGATTTCACCGATTTACACGCGTTTTCCCTTGACCAAATTTTGACCGTATCACCCTTTATAGTGAATGTACCATTGAAGTCTTGTCACTATTTCTAAACTTGTAAAATCCATATTCAACAAATATTTTACCCTCCATGAAAACAACCCAAAGTCGCGCCTCGCATCTTGAAGCATATCAACAAATCAACCAAAACCAACAGTCGAAATTTTCTATTAAACAAACATCGAAGAAACCGAAACCAGAAAGCCGATGTAAGATGACCTCATTGACATCCGTTTGTTTTTCTCCGGGTAGCAAAGGGGGCGGGGGGGGGGGTGGTCGCGTATCGATTCTCCACACCACACCCATTCGTACGTTAATCGAATCAAATCGTAAATGAAAACGAGTTTTTGGAACAAATGAAATTCTTTTCTTCTTCATTCAAATCAACATACTGGAATCCAAATCGAAATAGCTTCTATAAATTTATTCCCCCCAACAGGTTCAGTATGTAAATCGCATAATATGATGAGTTGTTAATCCTATAACATAAGTTCAAAATGCAAAACACTCTCAGACTAAGATTCGCGAAATATGCACGTATATATCGCTAAGCTAAATTCAAAAGTTTATAATCTCACAGCTGCTGCATGGCCAGAATGATATTCTGCAGAGCGGTTTGGGCATCGGTGGTGGGAAACCGGTCCAACACGTTCATTGCTGCCATACTGTGCTTCTTCTGAAGGTTTCTCGTCTTCTCCAGCCCTGGTCCCTGGATGATTTCCTGATGGAGAGCCGCATAATCCACGTCCTCAATTGAGATCTTGCCCTGTTCGATAAATTCGTAGACGCTTGGATCGTACTCCAAGTGGAACAGGACCGGCGCGGACACCAAACTGAATGTGTTTCCTGGGAATGTTGGAGTAATTTTAAATGAAATTCAAATGGATATAGGAAGCAAATACCTACCTAGTGGAAGCTGATTGAGCAGGAACGGTTGCAGCTCGATCGAGGCCTGCCAGGCCAGGGACATGTGCTTTCCGAAAAGATAGCCTTGCTTTTGCAGCTCATCCGGGTGTCCTGCCAACATCAAAGCTCCGTGGCAACTTTTACCCAGAAGGCTTCCACCGCCCAGAACGTGTCTGAGAGACCATTCTTTCTCCGGGTGTCCCATGACTCCGTCAATCAGCATCGGTTCCATGTTGTCTCGCACGTCTCCAAAGTCCAGCTCTTGCAGTGTACATTCCGGGGTGTTCGTTCGGGCAGGTGTATTCGGCTTCGATGGTAGCGGATTGTTCTGATCGTCACTTTCGCCTATGAACGCGGACTCTGCCAAGTCCCGGTAGGCGGATGTCATTAGCATGTTCAAATCTTGATTCCTAGAATATTTGTCCTATAACGCTCATTACACACCTCTATTACATGGACACCAACCTTAGGGAAGCAATTTGCTTACTGGCATGCGCTAGCAGGTAGTCCCCTCCCAGCAGTGCGATCTTGTTCCCGAAAACCATATCACTGTCCCCGCTCAGATCATTCCCGGCATTGTCCATCGATTGCAGGTTGATAACGCCCTGATGGATCAACTGGGAACTGCGGATCATTTCGGTTACTTCGGCCAGGGCTCGTTGCGAGTGCAGTACTCCTACGCTGCGATCCTGATCCATCTCCGGCACGGAGGCCGTATGCCCAGCTGCCTTGGAAATTAGCAATATGATCAGCCCCCATGCCTGCTGGCTTTTGTCGTTGTAGATCAGAGACCTTGAATATTCAAGTTTATGAAATGCGAAATTAGAATTTGAATATATGTTAAAATTAACCTCTCTGCTCAACAACACACACCTGACGGAAAAAAAAACTCGATATAGGAGAGAGCGTTAATGTGAATCATTCTGGTTTGGCAGGTATTATTTTGGACCCGGTTATCAAAAAAATAATAACGCTGTTAAATTTCTCAGATTAATTGGCATGCTTGGTGGAACAGGTTTGCGTTTCAGCAATTGAATCAAGGTAAGCTGGGAAATGCATTTTTATGTATATTTCTAGGGGCAAGACAGCTGCACAAAGAGTTTATATTTTCACAGCGAGTAAATTTGAGTAACTCATAATTACTCAAAAGTGATCAAAGTAGTCTCGCATTCGTCAAAAAATTATAAATAAATCAGTATAAACGAACATAAGCTGTCAGAGTAATCATGTTTTTTAGTTTTGTATTCTTGCAACAAATACTCAATAATCCATGTGTATTTATTTTCAGCATGAATTACTCCTATAAGCGTAGTCTCAGAACAATGGTAGGACAACAAAGTTGAAAAATCAGGAAAAGATATTTCCGAAATGATCCGGAGAAGGCCTGGTATGAAAAACGTGTTCGTATTTGGTTTGCTTTATGACGGGCCGCCTTAAGTTTTCGGTAAAGGGTGTGTTCTGCCAATAATAAATTTCCACATCTTAATGCGTTCACACCACTAATACGGAGTCGTGAGTGCGCTGCGATTCGAAGTGAACAAATATATCAATCCCAGTATAAACTAAGAGGAAAGGTTTTATATTAAATAAATTTTCTTGATATTACCCTCCGAAATCGCGAGTGAATTGTGATAGCACGGTACATTTGCAAAAGAAGAGAAAAAGTACTATCAGTCGATCAGTTTTCAGTCGTAGTCAAAAATCCGTAGTCTTTGGGGGTTATTCCGAGAGTCAAAGTGACTTTTATCATTAGTGAAGTGGGAAAAGTCATGTCGTGGTGATGTGACTCTCTGTGTCAATCAAATGGAGAATCGCGTTACCACGACGTGACTTTAATCACTTCACCAGTGAAAAAAGTCACTTTGAGTCTCGAACACTGACCTCTTTGACGCCACATGAACTCAAAGTTTATAGCGGCGCAGGAACATCTATAATCTTTTTTGTGTCTATGCAATATGCCAAAATGTTCGTAATGGAATGCTAAAAAACTGTGTTCAATAACCGTTTGTATCATCGCTATGATTAATTGTGTCACTACTCCATGTTAACTAGAAAATCCTACTATTATAATCGCCATCGAGTGATAAGATTTTCCTCGTCAAACATCTTTGCTTGATTGCAATAATTGTGGAATGCACACAAAACAAACAGGTTGCTATGTCACCTTGACATTGAATATTGAACATTGAATATTGCAACTCGAGTTACTCAGAGTTACTCAAAATTTACTCCAATTTTATTCATTATCAAAAGCTGTCTTACCCTTAGGTATATTTCCATTGAGATCTCAGAAATCGGAATCAAAATCCACACAACAAGCGAGCGATCGCGCCCACCGATCGTGAATATTCAACGGCGTAGATTTTAAATTGAATAATCGATCGGGTTTCAAAACAGCTTTTTGCACACGAAAAAAAGTGGACTCCATTTAAAGATCAGTTCCGCACCAAATTACGAATCGAAAAAAAAACTCGACCTTCTCCGATTTGCATAAAACTTTGCATAGTTGTGTGTAATGGGCAAACATTCGCATTTTTTCAAAAATTCGGCCAATTTGGATTCAAAATGGCGTCTTTGTAATTGTAGCACATACACATCACATCTGATCGAAATAACGTCTAAAACAAAGTTGTAAAGGAAAATAACGTTGTTCTGGGAAAATACACATGGATTTTTTTATTCGTCGACTTTCTCTTTGTATCCCAAAGACATTCCCATGTATTTTCAGCACACAGATCGATAAAATAACCTTTTAACTACCTAGAATATTATATTTGACGTTGTATTGATAAAGCAAGAAGAGGGTGTCCGATTTTTTCGTGAACAGATCTACGGATTGTTGACAATACTGCTTCGAAAGCCCTACATCTTTCCCAAACGGAGCGAAGTAAGAAGTGACCACACCCCTTGGAGGTTCGTCGCTTATTGTTCAACACGCTCAATCATTTAACGGACCGCCGCTCGCAGCATCGGTCGTTGTCTTGCCTTGATTGGATGTTGCTTCGCTTCTAACTGCTTTCTCCGAATATTTATGGAAATATTTCTAGCGCTCAGAACCATAAGGGCCTAAAGTGCGACGATTCTCTTCGCAAAACCACAGTTCATTGAACTTATTTTCTGAAATTATTACAATACTGCGAAAGGTTGAATTAGCTAGCAAAAGCATCACCAAACGCACCGAGAAATGTGAATCCAGTCAAGATATTAACAACAGAGAAAGCTATGAAGAGAATCGATCGTCGCAGTTAGGTTCGTATGATTCTGAACGCTAGATGTGTAGAATTGAGGTAGGTTACAGACGCACAAGGGGCAAAACAGATGGGTTTTGATTTGTGCGTATTCATGTGGAATGTTTTTTTTGTTATTTATCTTTTTTGGAATGTGCATTGCAATAACAATTTCATTTTTATACATCCCTTTTGTCTCTTCTTTTCTTGGAGATAGTTGAACCACAGCGTTTTTGGACATTTAAATTTGTTTCCCTGTATGCTATGCATGCATACATGCAAAGTAAACACCATTAATCGAGTGGTCCGCTTTCATATGAAGTGGTTTCGGAAAGATGGGACCAACTATAGTCGCTATATTTATAGTCTGATGGAGAAGAAAAAACAAATAAATGGCAACGTAAGTTTTCAAACCAAACCGCTAGCACCACGGGAAAATATTCCATCTGGCTATTCCGTTCGCATCGTTTGCTATTTTTTTCACGAAAATTATTATTATCTGTAAACTCAATTACGATGGTTTTTTATATGAACCGTGATTAACACCATAGAAATAATAATAAATATTCTAGTATTGATCGAGAAATTATGGCATGATCACAATACTTCTACTGCAAAATTCAGTACTGCTCGATTGGATTCGCTTTTTGACAACTCAGATTGGTTCCAGAATTAAGTATAGCGACTATTGGACCAACCGCCATGTTATTCCATATTTTAGAACTTCCGATCATAAGTCACCCTTTAAAAAACCTGTAAATGTTATATAGTTCGAGATGCTTAATGTCAAATATAAAACTTAAAGTGGTCATTTTAAACTATAGACACATAACATATGTGGGAATTGATCATCCAAAGTCGACCCCATTTCAGTGATTTCAAGTGGTATAGAAATACATCGATCAAAACGGCGCCGGTGGTGTAGTGGTAAGCGTGATTACCTCTCACCCCAGCAGGCCTGGGTTCAATACCAGTCGGCGCCGCCGGGATGTTCTGAGGCATAACATCTCTGATCACGCCTTCCTTCGGATGGGAAGTAAAGCCGTTGGTCCCCGGTTCATGAGTTGATGGGTCGATAGGTAGGGTCCAGGTGTGGGAGCTGCCTTCCTGGCACGTCGGTAGCATTGGTGCTCAGCACGGAAAACAAGACCAACGGAAAAAACAAACCAAAGGAAAAAAAAAAAAAAAAAAAAATACATCGATCTGTCAAATTGATTTTACCAGCTGTAAAATGTAGCCGGCGCCGGTGGTGTAGTGGAAAGCGTGACTGCTTTCTCACCCCAATGGGTCTGGGTTCAATCCCAGCCGAGGTCGGTGGGATTTTTCTGAGGCATAAAAATCTCTGGTCACGTCTTCTTTCGGAAGGGAAGTAAAGCCGTTGGTCCCGGCCCATGTGTGTTGATGAATGGGTGCGATATCCTACGCAGGTGTGGAAGCTGCCTTCCTGCACATTCGATTGCCGTCAATAGATGGCAATCGATGTCCGTCGGTGATTGGCACTAGATTGCGGAACAGAGACCGACGTTAAATAAAAAGGAAAAAAAAAAGCTGTTGAATGAGAAAGCGAATCAAGGGGGTAGTCAATTCTATTAAAATGATAATAGAGTGGTTTATAATTCTATGACTTCATAGCACTTCTGAACTTATGACTTTGTTTATCGTTGACTATTTACGTCCTTTTTTATAACTATATAGCTGGATTTAACAAATTAATCACCTTGCTTCACACAGCAAAAAAATATGTTAATGTTTGCATTTAAAAAAGTAGACATTTTTCGCCGATATTTTATGCCACCAACGTTAATCCTAAAATGGCATGGTAAGCTACCTTAATTGTTTACAGCCCAATTTTGAAAGTGATAGGTATTGTTTTTCTGTAGTTATGGCAGAAAAGTGCTGAAACTCCTCGCGAATACTCGTTTAATTCTTCTAATTCTAAATTTGTGCAGGTATGTTTTTTCAATTTTATTTTTGAAAACATAGATGAAGAATATATGAACAATTTTTTTCGTAAAAACTTTTTCAGAATTGTTCGGAACCATCAACCTTTGAGGAAAAATACGACCGCGGCAATCAGGAGTTTACAGCACACATTTTGAAGTCCAGAGCGAAGCAGAAAAAATTTGCAACAAGTGGTTGCAGTGTTTTGAGGTGACCATCGTTCCATTCGCAAGAATTTTGCAAGCGGGACGATAAATCAAACCAAACGCTTCGATACCTGTAATACCCAACGATTCAACCCTCCATATGTTTCTCAACTGCGACCAATTGAAATTTTTTGCTCAAATCCCAACACAAATAACTACTCCAATTACTTTGTACTAAAAAAAACGTGGAAAGATTGATCTAAAAGGCAAAAGAGGGGCTAAACAGGATCCTAACAAACTTTTTTCCTACAATGTGCAGTCTTCATCAGTGTCACATTGTAGTCGAAATACGTATCTGTCATCGATACCAAATGAATTAAGTGGAATTAAATGGAAGATAACATTTTTTTTGCTGTTTTATTTGAGCATTCCGCTAACAACCCAATTTCATTACTTATTAAAACTTTTCTCGACCACT